ACATCATGGAAATAGGGAAGGAACTGGAGAGAATAAGATCTGCCTCACTTCTTTGCCTATTAGCCAGTGGGTCCCCACCCAGGGTAGACCAGCCAGTGGGTCCTGGGGGGATGGGTAGCTCTGTGGGTAGTGTGTGCAAGTGTGATGACCTGATTTTAGATGCTCAGCATCCATGTGAAAGTCGAGCATGGAAGGTGTATCTCTAAGACAGTTCTAGGGTGGGGTGAAAGAGACAAGCAGGTTCCAGGGGCTCGCTGGCTGGGCAGTCTAGCTGAAACAGAAGCTCCAAGTTCAAAGAGAGACTGTGTCTCAAAAAGTAGGATGGGGAGTGATTGAGAAAGACATTCAACATCAACCCCTAGCCCCGGCCTCCACATACATCCTCATGGGCAAATATGAACACACACACACACACACACACACACACATACACACACACACACACACACACACACACACACACACACACACACTGATCAGTTGTTCTTGACAGAGGTGAGTAGCACCCTGGCATGGAAAACAGTTCTGGACTTTGCTTTCTGTACCTAGGTATCTACTCCAGGATTTTGGTGGGTTTTTTTGTTTTTTGTTTTTTGTTTGTTTGTTTTTTGAGACAGGGTTTCACTGTGTAGCTTTGGAGCCTGTCATGGAACTCACTCTGTAGACCAGGCTGGTCTCCAACTCACAGATATCTGACTGCCTCTGCTTCTGAATGCTGAAATTAAAGGAGTGTGCCACCCCTGCCTGGCTGCTCCAGGATTCTTTAAAGAAGCCCAGTGGAGTTATTTATCTGAGGTTAGGAATGCTGGGCAAGTGTCAGATTTAGTTATGGAGATTCCAACAACAGCCGTGTCACTATGGTGACTAATGTCCACCGAGAAATTTCTTTCTCTGCGGTCTTAGTGTGCAGCTTCTACAATGGGCAGTTGACCTATGAGGAAGCCAAAGTTCAGAAAGGTTAAATGATGTGAAAACTAGGGTTTGAATCTGTATTCCTACTGGTCCTCAAGCTCAGATACTTTTTTCTGTTAAAAAACACCCAGACTGTCTGTTGTTGTTGTTAAAGGCAAGTTAGGGCCATGGGGCAAAGGAAAGGGGGTGGGGTGGGGACTGAGAATGTTCTGGTGGAGGTGTTGGACTCCAATAGGGATCCTAAACACTGTGACTTAATGATTCCCCCATGTAATATAGCAACACACTAACATCTCATCTGTTTCCCAGGCTGCTTGTGCAGCCTTACCCTTGTCCCGTGGCATTTGTAGTGAGATTCTGGTCTCTCAGCCAGGGACTGCTTCTTTTCCCAGGAACCCGGAACTGCATAATCATAAGGGCTTCCAGGAGTTCCCTGGGGTGCTGTGGGAGAAGTCTAGAAACCAGGCAGAGCTACCGAAGGCTGGACTTTGGGACAGTCACCCATTGATCATTCTGCAAACTTATTGAGCAGTTCACATGTTCTAGTAACTGTGCTGAACCCCACTGGGTTGAAGAAATAGGGGTTTCCGGTCCCGAGAGCTGGTAGATTGTGGGGAGGGCAAGACTCCCAACATATGGGGGTGCAGCACAATGGGCAGAGGAGGGGGAGGGTGGCTGGAGATGATTGGGCAGAGGCACATACCTGGGTTCTTCAGTGAAATCCTCTACCTAGGCATCTCCCTCAGGCCTGGCTCTGAGTTTAAGTCAAATGGCTTTGGTCCCCAGTCGCCTCCTGCCTGCCACGTTCCAACTCAATCATTCTTTGAAATTTGGAACTGGAGCTAAAACGCCTTTGCCCTGTAACGGGATTTGCACAGTCTCCACAGCAGTGCCTGCGTCGCTCATCACCTGCTGTTGTAATCTGCACCACTAAGCCTGAAGCTAGAGGCAGAAAAGCTTAACTCGTTCTTCCTGGCACGGGAACCATATTTCAGGAGGGGAGCTAATCCACACCCCATCTCCACACATGGACGCTCTCAGAGGAAGTACCCATGGCAGAGAGAGCAATGGCCCCTTCCTTCCCAGAGGAGATCTGAAGATCAAGTTCCTCTAACACAGACAGACGGCATGAATTGTGGTGTCTGAGTCTGAGGGTTAAACTACTCTGGGGACCGTCTCAAGACTGTCGGTGGCAGAGACAAGATGGCTAATTTTCCTAGCAATGGTGATACCTGGTCTGAATGGACCTCCATATCTGCACTGGAAGAGTTGACTCGGTCTAAATAATATTACAAGTGGGTTTTGAGCGAGTGTGTGTATGTGTGTGGTGTATACCTATCAACCCATGGATGCTGGTTAAACAGCTGGCATCTTTTCTAAAATCTAAACAACTGCTCAAGTTTTGTTGTCTTCTAACTTTACCTTCGTGTTTTGGAAGGTAGAGTAGAGAGCAGGGTGAGCAGTTCTTACTGAATGCTTGCTGGAGCAGGGCTCTGTTTGAAGTACTGTTCGTAAATGCACAAGGGTGGGGACAGGGGTTCAAACGCATGAGCACTAAGTATAAAGGCATTCTAGAATGGAAGAAATTAGAGGCAGGGGCCAGGCATGTGTAACCCATGTACCCATTCAGAGCATCATTCATAATATAGTTACTAAGTCTAATGCGTGATAGAGGCTATCATAGATGTTGATAGACACTAGAGCTGTCCTAGTCCAAGTGGGATTTGCTGGAAGGACTGGTCAGTGACTGGAATTTGGCTTGACCACAGCAATGAGTTTCTGAGAGGCTGATTGTCCAGCAGCTCAGTAGGTTATGTGAGGAAGTAGATTCTTCATGTCTGGGAAAGTTATAAGTTTGAGTAGAGGCTTTGTAGACAGATCTCTGAGATGCAGAAGAGAGGGTAGCATGTCCTATAAATGCCCATTTGCCCCTCACCCCTTTCCAGTGCACACTAGTATCCTTCAACTACCAGCAACCGGTTCTTCCTGCCTAAGAACTTTCTCTGTTCACTTCCTGATGACAAGCTGGAAGTCTCAAGGTATTGATGGTACCTAGCATCAGCCTTCACAGCTGTCTGAAAGGAGCCAGTATGCACATGTCCAGGTCCCCTCCTCTTTGCACTGGTCCCTCTGAGGTGACTGCTGTCCAGAGTTCCCACAGTGGAACCTTCCTCAGTGACCAGCTTCCTTGTCTGCCAGCCTCCCTGCTTTTTTTCCTCACCCCCCCATACTTCTTGGCTTTACTTCTAGAATGATGACCTTGCAATTGGCCCCTGGCCTCTGTATCTCCGTTTTGAATAACCCGAAGGAAGACAAGTGTATCTTGCCCTGTGTGGAAGCTGAGACCTCTGAGGATCCCCTCCTTCCATTTCCACCAAACTTTGGGACTTGGATTAAGGAGTATCACATTGAGCCTGGAACTTCCCTCCTCTGCTGGGGGCCAGGGTGTGGAACATTGACCACTCACCAGACATAAGATGCTCAGCTTGCCTTCCTGCTGGGTCAGGAGATCCCCTAAAAGCATTTGGTGGCAGCTACTTTAGTGATGAATGTCCTATCTTCCATTACACAAGAGCTCAGGCTTGGGACACCAGGATACCTCGTAGACACTTGCGGATGTAGCTCTCCTTGGTCTTTGGGTCTCTCAGCCTGTGCTAGGTCTGGGCAGGGCTGAGCTCCCACATCTGCCATTCCCAAGGATGTCTGTTTCACACAGTTGATGAACCAAGGGTTGGGCAGGCCTAGTCTGAAGGTCTTTTCTGTGTCACCTGGCTAGAAGGCATAGAACTAAACAAGCAACTGGGCTAGGCTAATTGCCTGCTTTTCTACAAGACTAGGGCATTGACTAGAGCAATGGATATCATACATCCACAGACAGAGTGTAATGAAACTACACCTTTTATGGAGTCGGGAAAGGATGATGGAGGCCACTCATTCAGTAGGTGTGGTGGACACTGCAGTGGCCACACGTTCCTCATCAGTGAAGAACTTGCTGGCACAGATGCTGGGAAAGCAGTCTGCACTTGGAAAGTTTAGGGGACAATTCAGTGGCAGAGAGCCTCCTACCCAAGGCTAGGACCCTTTTGGGATTGTTCACACTCAATAACAGGTTAACACATGAGTGGGAAGACAGGCCATATGGCTGGATTTGGGATGACTCTAAAAGTCCTTTCACAAGGGGCTGAGAGGTAGCTCAGTGGTTCAGAGCACTGGTTGCTTTTGCAGTGGATCCTGCTATTGTGACACTCCTTAGTAAATACCCTCTTGGTAAAATGTGGTTCAGAGGTTGCTCTCAGAGACCCTACCTTGGGACAATGGGACACTGACTCTACTGCACCTCCAAACAATTTTCTTAACCTACAATGGTCTGTTTCTAAATTGCATCTTCAGAAAGCCCTTGGTATCTTAGAGAGTGAAACAGGGTTAGGCTCAGCTTTTTCCACTGGTCTCAATAAGTTGAGTGGTGTGTGTGTGTGTGTGTGTGTGTGTGTGTGTGTGTGTGTGTTACAGGGAATAGTGGTACCAGACCCTGCAGGTCTCACTACCCCCTGGGGTGCACTGATGCCCATGTCACAGCATAGCCATCCTATGTAGTCAAAGGTCCTTCAGAAGGTGTAACAGTTACAGACCCCCAAGCAGCAGCGTCTTCTCTGTTCCAGGCTATCCCTACAGCTGGGACTACAACGGGAGCTTGCTTTATTAGATCCCATTATAAATGGATGATTTGCCATCTCTGAAGATAAATGTGAAGCTTAATGTAGAGGTACCCTGTCTGGGGAAACTGGAGAGTTATGGATGTTAGCTTTGCCGCTTTGTGAAAGCACTTTCTTAGGGAAACTGAAATGACCAAGATGAGATTGAATTAGTATGTAGTGGTATGAGCTTTTTCTCCCCCTATCCATCTTGATTTTTTTTAAGGGAAAAGATTTACCTCCTGTGTGAGCAGTTTCATAAAATCCAAAGCTGAATTTGGGGTTGGTAATTAGCAGGGTTGCCTCCCGGTGCTAAGGAGGCAGCAGCCCAGCTGGAGTCATGGCAGAGGTGGTTGAGGAAGCGCCCTCTGCTGGCTGGCTTCCCTCCGGGTGGTGTCTGCCTGCTCCGGCTCACTCCTTTCCCACTTTGCAGGCTGACTAGCACCACCTTCCATTCCAGCTGCAGGCTCCTGGGTTCTGCTTCTGTTCCTGTGGGTGGCTTTCCTGAGAGCCCTCTTTATTACCGTGGCCCATTCTGAATTTCAGACTTGAGTCCCAGCTAAGAGGTAAGCTCCTTGCTGATAGGCAACTCCATCCACTCAAGACTACATGCTAGAGGTGTAAAGATGAGGGTGCAGAGAGTCCTGCTCTTCAAGAGAGTGATCAAATGGAGGAAATGCAGTTGTAGACAATGCCCAAGCCAGTGTTCCGTGACAGAGCTATCAGAGATGACAGAGATGTCCCCATGTTCTGATATACATTGTGGTCCCTTGAGAATAAGAAGGTAAGAAGGAACAGCTGTCTTAGAATCCTGAGCACATAGCTTCTGAGATTTGAGCCTTGGTGTTATATTCTGTAGAATGAAAATGTGCTTCTAGAACCTCTCTAGAACCAAACGATCCGCTGGCCTAGTCTTCTTCCTCCTGAGATGGGGGGGGGGGGGGGGGGGGAAGAAAGGCTGGGACATGTCCAGTCTCATGACAAGGGAGAGACAGAATAGGGACTCTAACTCTTACTTCCTGGCTCTTTGATTCCAGCAGACTGTTACAGGGTGTGAGGAAGGGAACAAGCATTAAGAGAGAACAGAAGACCTTAGGACTAGCTAGGACTTGGAGCTTCTGTTGAAACCTCCCATTTAAGGCTTCGCTGACTCTGGACCAAGTTTGAGGTCTGATGTGTATTTGATGCTTGCAGTGTGAGTGTAGAGGGACATTTACTAATGATATTACTCAATTTCCTAGGGCCAGCACACACCCCATGGTCAGTGTCTGTCCCAAGTATCTTCATCACCGAACAATTCTATGAACGAGGCATAGAAAGAGATGGAATGCTGTGCCCCCACGTTTACCTGGGACTCCAGATAGGGGGAGCACTGAGAATTCCTGTCTCTCAGAGACTTTCTGGGCATGGAAGTTATCTTCTTGGGTGGTCCCCCATTACACAGTGATTGGGGGGAATTCCATCATGGCTTTCGGATTAATCTTTGAGTCCAACAACTTTATAGAGATGGAGAATAAAAAGGGATAATGGACTTAAGCCTCTCCTCTGATCCACAAATATTTAAGAGCACAGATAGCATCTAAAGAAAGCCTTGCATGGGAAATGGGAGGGTTGGAAGTAGTTAGCAAGAGGTGAATTCATTTGAAATGTAAAGCATAGACCATATAGTTTTTGTTATATAATGCTGAGCCCTGGGCCTACCCAGGTACTCTTTAGGGATACTCAACTTTGACTATGGAAGGATCTTGGTAACCTTGCTCCCTAATCTGCTCCATACTAAGGTATGGGGTGAGTCCTCTTGTAAGTACCCATCATGACCCAGGGCAGAGACGGGACCCACCTAGGGAAAGTTTTCTCCATTTCAGGTTTCCCCAGAAATGCTCCTCACGTTGGTGAGAGCCTTTTGGTCTTTTATGGAACTATATAAAAACACTACAAATACCAGTGTATTTAAACTTGTCTGTGCTTTCTTACTTCAGATGGGGGAAGAGGTTGAGAAATTTTACTCACCTAAGATGTTCATCTTCTTTTAAAATTTAAATTTATTTTTTATTGTTATGCACATGTGTGTTTGAACAACGTGAGTGTGAGGGCAAGTGTACGCCACAGCTTGTGTGTGAGGGTCAAGGCAACTTTGTGCAGTTTGTTCTCTTCTACCTTTCTGTGACTTCTGGGGCCTGAATTCAGGTCATCAGGCTGGTGTGGCAAGTGCTTTTATCTCCTGAGACATCTTGCTGGCCTGAGTGTGTGTCCTCTTAGTGCTGTAAAGTCTCCTACTGGTTGTGACAGGAGCTGCACTCAAGGAACACTCAGGATAATTTCAGTCCTTTTCCTCACCATTTGACTGAGGTGAAACCAAGAGATCCCAAGTCACACAGCTGTGGAGAGGCCAAGAGATCCCAAGTCACACAGCTGTGGAGAGGCCAAGAGATCCCAAGTCTAGTAGGGACTCACTCCAGGTTGCACAACTAGTCAGCAACAAGGATGAATTGAGATTCAGCTTTCTAATCATCCACTCATTTTCTCAGAAGGATTTTAGTAAATTTTTAGTGGGTATCCAGGAACCATGAGAGCCAAGGGGACAGTGGAGGACAGGAAGAGTCAGTCCTCATTCCCAGCACTTACCTTGGAGTAGGAAAGAATAAACATACCATGCTACCTACATTTCCTACATGCCATGAAGGAAATGGCAGGGCAGCCAGAACATGCTCCCTTGGAGAAGCCATGTATAAATTTTGGTTCGCAGGATGCCCAGAGAACCAAGGATAGAACTGTGTCCCAGGCCAAGGGAACAGCTTCCACAAAAGCCCGGGGAAGCAGAGTTTGTTGTCAAGGTCTGCATGATGGAACGGAAGGTGGGGAACTGGGATGGGGCAAGACTGGAGAAGGCAAAGGCAAGGTCACATGGGAGCCCTCCTAGGTCAACAGAAGACTCTGGGCTTTCTTTCTGTTTCCACTGTGTGGTCTGTGGCTGAGTTCCTACAGCACAGTGTAGAAAGAGGCCAAGGGCTGACGAGCATCTGAAGAAACGGGGACTTGGCTGTTCTGAGAAAGGCGCTCCGAGGACATGAGGAAATGTGGTGTGGCTGCTCTTGTAAAGATGGGTTAGCCAGGGGAGGTAGGGACTGGGCCGCCTCAAGAGTCAATGAAGAGATCTTCAGGAAAGAGCTGCAGAGCTGGCTGCAGAGGCTGACGGTGACAAACCAAGGGAGTGGCTTCACCAGACCTAACTGAGGATGTTTATGGACAGGAGCCAAAGGACTGGCCTGACGGGCCTTGGTAGGTCCAGATGGAAGGAAGGAACCAACCTCAGGTGTAGGTGTGCCAAGAAAATCTGTGATTAAGCTGGGTTTCTGTGGTTTGCCTCCTTGGCTAAGAGTCCTGACTGGTGACTGCAAGGCAGATAGAGTATGTGTGATGATAACAGACCTTTACCTGGTGGATAGGACGCACATGGACAAGGCGGCAGGACTAAGCCCACAGGTGTCTTCAGTGGATGTAATAGGAAGGGAATGGGAAGCTGACTTTGATGGAGAGTATGCACCGTTCCTCCCTGGCAAGCTGTCTTCTCTGGCTGTGGCAATGAGGCTGTATACCATGGCAAGTGGTGTTAGTGTGATTGCCATAACTTTAGAGATGCAGGCCACGGACCCTGCCCTTTTGGTGACTCTCCAGGTTGGAATAACAATAGTGTTGTCAGTGTCCTCTCTCAGGACAGTTCTCGTTGTTGGATGAGACCATGGAAATGAGGCACAGAAAGCAATGACCACACTGCCGAAGACACTGGATGACCAGGGCACGAAGATCTAAACCTCCACTCTTTCCCCCTGGACTAAGATCCCTGATCTCAATGTCTCCCTACCCTTTTTTGTTTTTAAATTTTTATTTCATTTTGCTTTAGGTATGTGGATGTTTTCCTTGCACCCCCATGCTCCACCTGTATGCCCATTACCTATGAAAGTCAGAAGAGGGCGCCATATCTGCTGGAACTAGAGTTACAGACAGCTAAGATCCAATATATTGATGCTGGGAATTGAACTTGGGTCCTCTGGAAGAACAGCCAGTTCTTTTAACCCCGAGCCATCTTTCCAGGCCCCATTTTCTGGTCATTTAAGAGAAGATAGTATCATATAAGAGACTCCAGTTATCTTCTTGGCACTGGCCCAGAGAAGACTCCAGCCAAGTCACTTCTGCTCTCCAAATCTCTCTCTATGGAAGACCTTGTCCTAAGTCAGTCTCTCTTCAGCACAGTGCTGAGCCAAACAGAGGGTGCCTGCATTGGTAGAGTGAGCCCTTCCTTCAAGATGCCCAGGCAGGTCCAGATAACCTCTGGTAGGGTCTCCTCCAATTGAGTTTGATCTGTGCCCTGTTATTTAGATCAAATAGTTCCATGTTCTCTGTGAGCTGTGAAGTAAAAACAAAAACAAAAACCAAACCAAAATAAAATCAGAAAAGCACAGCACTCGGGAGGCAGAGGCAGGCGGATCTCTGTGAGCTCGAGACCAGCCTGGACTACCAAGCGAGTTCCAGGACAGGCTCCAAAGCCACAGAGAAACCCTGTCTCGAAAAACCAAAAAAAAAAAAAAATCAGAAAAGCAATGCCCAGAAAATCCCTAGAAATCATCCCGGAGGTCTCTGCTGAGACAATATGACTAATATTCTATGAGTTGTCTTTCAGCTTTAAAATCTGCCTCTTCTGAGAAATTTGCCCTACAACGTCATCCAACGGCATCCCCTATCCTGGCATTTTCATTAGTTACAAGCTGCAATATCCTGGAATTAATTCATTTTCTTATGCTTCTTAATATGTGACCTGTGGGTTGTTTCACATAACAACAATGACAATGACAACAGCTACTGCCATTTATCATGCATGCAGGTGGCAGACACCTCAAGAAGCAGCCTTGGAAACCTGGGACTTTGATGGCTTAAACTGCTTGCTAAATGTCCACAACTGAGCCAGGATTTGGACACAAGTTTTCCTGGCCTAGCTCAGTCTAAGCCAGGCATACGTACTCTGTGTGCTGTATTAGTCCCATTTCCCTTTATTTTGAAATTCAGCTCAGTAATAAAAGTCAAGGTTATTGTTTGGTATGTAAAATACATACCTTGGCTGAAGTTGAAAATGTTATGCACAACCCTTCCCCCACCCAGGTTGTAGACAGAAAAGGACACAGTTAGTTTTCAATACCCTTCCTTCCTTCCTTACCTTACTTTTTGGTGTATGTGTGTGTGTGTGTGTGTGTGTGTGTGTGTATGTGTGTGTGTGTGTGTGTGTGTGTGTAGTGTATGTGTGTGTGTGCATTCATGTGTGAATGCAAACATACTCATGCTGTGTAGTGTGTACAGAGGTCAAGAGGTCAGAGGACAACTTCAAGTGTTGGTTCTTGCCTTCCTCCTTGCTTGACACAACTTCTTGTTTGGTTCTACCCAAGCTAACTGGCCTGCAGGTTTCTAGGGGTTGTCATGTCTCATGCCATCTTCCCACAAGTATGCTAGAATTATAGATGTTCATGCCACATGTCAGGCTTTTACTTGGGTCCTGAGGATTTGAACTTGGGTCCTTAAGCTTGTGTCATATATACTTGTACCCACCGAGCTGTCTTCCTAACCCTGGCTTCCAGCTTTATCTGGTTGTAGATGAGAGTGATCTTACAGACCCTGTGGCATGGGAAATAGGCCCCAAGTGACCTTGCCACTGGTGTGTTGAAATAAGAAGACCCTCCTATGGAAGGACACAACTAAAGAAATGTCCAAGAGCCTGTCCCTCAACTAGAAATCTGGCCTAGGTTCTTGTCCTGAGGTTTACTATAGATGTCTTGCATCCATGTTGAGGACTCTCTATGAGAGAGAGAAACAAGAGTTGGTGATTGATATCTATAGCCTTAGTGGGTTATGGGAGACTGGTGTGAGGCTCACACATGCAAGTAGCGCAGGGTGGTGGTGCCAGCTTCCAGGATAGACACCCTAGTGAACTAGCATTGTCTAGAGATGCCTCTACCGTTTCCTCTTCTCCTTCTTGGACTCTGTCATGGGATGTATGAAACATTTGATTTGGGGCTCCCAATGAGTTCTGTCACAGGATCAATTTGGGGCTCCCAGTGAGTTATCTGTGAGCGTCCCCGAGGAGCCCCCATTTCTCTCTGTCTTCACCTGAACAGCTAAATCAAATACAAATCTGCTTTGTTGTTAACGGTAAGTTGGTCATGAATTTAACTTTATGGTTCATCACTCATGCTATACAACCTTGAACTAGTCTGTTAGCATTTATCCAGTAAATATTTAGTGAGCAACTACTTTGTGTTGTAACTAGCCTAGATATTAAATTATGGCGGGACAGTATGTAGACTAGGATAGGAAAGTGGCATACTAGGACTGGCAGAGCCTAGAACATCGTTGGGATGAGCAGTTAAGACCTCTTTTGGTTGAACCCTAAATGATGATGCAGAAATGATGGGGGAGTATTAAATGTTATGGAGACACAGGATACAGCAAGTCCAAGGCCTTCAGATGCAAAACAGGGTACCACTGAGAAGACTAAGAGGTTTCTAGTTTGCTGCCACACAGGCAATGAATTCCGGCTCCTCAAGGTGCAAGCAGAGAGTACAGTTAGGTGACCACTCAAGGGTCCTGGCCAGTCATGATGATGCTTGGGGCATCTACTCTCTGAACCTGTTTCCAAAATGAAGACAAGAGTGCCTACGTACCAGGATGGTGATGGAGATTAAATGAAATGTTACTCAGGAGAATTAAGCAAAATGTCAGGACTCTTCAATCAGCAAGTCTGGGGATGGGATGCAGGATGCCCTTCCTGACTTTCTTATCCCAGGTTGTTAGTGACCTGGGCATCCATGATACTCAGCACCCACTGCAAGGTGGTTACCAGGATGGAAGGAGTAGACAGGTGGTCTCTAGAGGAGGGAACTCCTTCTGTGTGTGCTACTAAAGCAAGACTGCCAGCAAGTGGGAGAGCCCAAGCATTTTGTGCACTGTGCCTTCCCAGGATGAAGCCAGGAGACATTGCTGCCTCGTCCAGTAAGTCTGCTGAGTTGAGAATGGATAGGGGAAAGGCTTAGCTAACAGGAAAAGCAAGCTGGGGTGCAGAAGATATGGAGATGATCTCTTCTTGTCCCCCGCCTTTCCATCAGCAGGGAGGGGTGCACAGGAAATAGAGGAAGAGAGGAAGAGAGAAAGAGGATGTGGGTAGAATTTGCCCAGTTTCCTGTCTGTCCTCTGAGATGAGAGGATGAGATAGGCTGGGGCTGTGAAAAGGGATTTGGTGAGACACTCTCAGTATGCAAAGACAGCAGCTGGACCCCGAAACATATTCTTCTCCATGAGCATGGTCTTCTATCCTGCAGAACGTCACTTCTTCTGAGCAGTGCTGGGACAAGCCGAGGGGCTGGAGAGCCGTGATGCCCCGCAGCCACACCTTGGACTGCTCTAGTTGTCTGCCACTGTGGTAAAGGGAAATTTTATGAGCTCTTCATTCCTCACGTCCCACGGGGCCTTTGCCTTGCTCAGACCATCTCGGATACACACATATATCTTCAAAAGAAAAAGAAAGAGAGAGAAAAGCTATTTTATTTCATTGCCAAACTATCCACTTTAAATACCCTTTTTATTACGGTATCTGCATAGTAATACTAATAATAGATCTTGTTGGCAGTTCTAATGAGGCTGGAGAATATAAGGTTCCCAATAAAGTTAATTGTTGCCTTTAATATTCTCATACATTTATACATGGTAAATCTTTAAAGGAGAAAAAACACTCCATTTCACCCCTGTTAAGCAGCCGGTCCCAGACTGCGTAAAGACCAAGTATAGCAGTAGTGTGGGCTGGGGGCTCCGCTCAGGAGAGCCTGTGCTAGCAGCTCCAAACTTCTTTTGAGCAGCGGCAGCAGCAGCAGCAGCCAGGCCTTTAAGCCAGCAGGAGTCAGACTTCTAGGCTGGTCTTGATCCTTTGTCACTCTGTAGCTTAGACACATGGCTGAACCTCTCTTAGCCTCATTTTCTCTTTGGTCTGAGACATGGGATTTATGATAGGTGTATGTAGCTCAGCATAGTACATGGAATGTTCTCTGTGCTCTTCCCATAGGAATTATCATCATTATTTCTCTCCTGTGTGTGTGTATGCCTAGTGGGGGGGCAGGTGCGTGTTGCATACATGTGCGTGTAATTGACAGGGAACAATCTTCAGTTTCATTCTTCACTCAGTACCCACTGTATTCTTCAAGGCAGGGTCTCTCCCTGGCCTGGACTCATTGGATTGGCTAGGTTAACTGGCCAGTGAGCCCTGGGGTCTGCCTGTGTCTTACTGCGATTACAATCACATGCCACTGCACCCAGCTTCTCACATGGGTTCAAACTCAAATCCTTGTGTTTGTACAGCAAGCACTTTACTGACGGAGACGTCTCTCCAGCTATATTATCACCATTTGAAGCTATTTAAACACAATTAATATTTTATTCACCCACCATGCATTCTCACTGAGGGTGACATAAATCACAGTGCTACAAAGACTGTATGTGAACTCCAGAGCTGACCACAAGCCTCTCTGTTGGTCTGTTCTTCAAGGATGCACAATGACAGTATTACCAGGGCTTAAGCCCAGGGTTCTTAGTACCCAGGATCTTCCGGTATTCATTAGCTCCTAGGTGACCCCTGACCTCTGCACCTCTACCCCCAAGAGGGTCTCACCAACTTTGCTTTTCTTCTGCCTTTTAATGCGACCCAGGACACAATGGAGTCTAGAACAACCTTAATTTCAAAGTGAGGTAAGGGAGGGCTCCTTCCCTAGTCTTGGAACGGACAATCCTGATTCCCATCTCGCCACTCCCACTGACCAATTCTTCCTTTTTGCTTTATCTTGGAGAGAAAAAAAATCACATGAATTTTTCAGTTGCAGAACAAAGAGGAGTGTGTTTCACCATTTATTCTGTCTCCAACTCCGTGTATTTCTGACAGTTCCATTGCACTACTGACACATGATGTTTTTCCTCCCAAGAGGGGTAGCAGAGGGAGATTTACCCCCCCCCAGGCCCAACCTTCACGATGTGAGAGAGGGAGTAAGGAACTGAGATATCCCAGGTTAGGGACAGCCCCTGTGACCTTGTGTTTCAGCAAACAGATCACAAACAAGGCTCTCCCCTTCCCGACCTTCCCCACCCAAGCAGGGTTCTCTTCTACACATCAACGCCTCTCCTACTGGCAAGAGGCAAGAAATACTATGTGACAGGATGGTTGCCATGGCAACTCTCATTTCCAGTTAAACAACCGGGCACTGATGAAAGGGGTCTCGTTTGCTTTGGTTAAAGGGTTTGTTGAGAAGGGTGTGGGGCTCCTTTCTTCCTTTCTTTTTTTTTGTCTCCTTTCTTATTTCCTGCCTTTGGTCTCTTTGTGTGTGAGTGTGTGTGTGTGTGTGTGTGTGTGTGTGTGTGTGTGTGTGTGTAAGAGAGGGGCCTTGATGGGCCAGGGCTGCTCAGTTCCTGGAGAAGAGGAAGGTAGCATCAGCTGGATCAGAGGGAGGGAGGCAGATGGGGTTCTGGATCTGAGAAGAGAATGTACCTCCTGTCCTTGCTTCTGTCGTTTCTCCCGAGACTCACTTGCTCATGTCTGTAGTCTCTCAGAGGAAGGAAGGACCTGTTGGGGGAAGAAAAGGGTTGGTGGAGGACCCCGCATCCCAACAGGTGGTTGGGTAATTAAGTGAGCTTTATGCACACAACACTGTTTTGCCCGATGTAATTGCAGTTTCCATATAAATAATTCACGGGAAATTATTAGAGTGAGGACATCGCCCGCCTCTTCATAATTTGCTTAACCGAAATAGGCTCTTTCATCATGCACGTTGATTTGCCTTAAGACCATGCACTCAGCACCCTTCATAGGCCTGCTCCTCTGAAAACGAGAATGCAGAATTTAATTAAGTTATGCAAATCGGGCATCCCCTGCCTGGGGAGAGGCAGAGTGTTTGCCCACACGACTGTGGGGTGCCACAGAGAAGGGAAGTTGGGGCCAAGGTGTGCCCCGAGGGGTGGGTAGCTGTTTGGGGAGAGACCAGGATGCTCCCTCTCCATAATGAGAGCAACATAGGATGGGAGAAGGGTCTGGGTCTGGACTCCATGGGTGGGGCAGAGCAGGCCCCGGGGATTTGGCCACCTGACTGACTGGTGTGTAATTTGGGAGAAGTTCTTAACCGGAGGGCACTATCAGGGTCAGTCCCTGTAAAAGGAGGATAATAAGGCACTGAGCTGGGGCTGTGGGGGAGAGATCTATTCGAGCACTGTGTACCATGCGGAATATGGTCCTAGCTACAGGGTGTAAGGAATCACCATCCGTCTGTCCATTCTGTGACTACTATTACTTCTGTTATGGTTGTTGTTATTGTTCTTATGTAACAACATTGGGTTCTCTGATTCAGGTTTTCATTGCTTTTCACAGAAATGTCTGGCTGAGGCCATCCTGCCTTCCTGCCTCAAGGTAAGTCAGACTTAAAACTTTCTGGACAGATTAACCCATGATTTGGGGAGGAAATTATTAATTACAGGAGAAAAACCTTGCTTTTTGAAGTTGTAAAGACAAAGATCCATTGCTTGAATACGGTCATGGGCAAGCCAATTACCTTTATGAATCCTGAGGGCCTCTTGGGTGGAGTAAGCAGATTTTTCCAGGCCAGGGTAGGGGCAGTGTTAGGAGGAACTTCCCCAAGGCTCCAGATATGTAGCCTGTTTTGTGCTAGGGCAGTGACTCGAGCCCATCTACCCTAGCCTCCTCTGCTAAGGAGAAAGCTCCTTTGCCTTCTTTCGTCCATCCATCAAAATACTGTCTGTTACTTTACTCTTCTTATCCCTGGGACAGAGTATCTCACATCAGAACCTGGAGGAAGAAGACTGTATTTTAACTCAGTTTCACAGTGGGGAAGACTTGATGGTGGCGTCTGTCTGTGGCAGGAGGTTGGGGTGGCTTGTTCATATCCTAACTGCCAATCAAGTAAGTAGAGGGTTCTGGCTGGAACTGGAGCCAGAGTGTGACCTATAAACTTGTCCCCTATGACCGTACATCGGCCAGCAGGGTCCCATGCTGAAAGGATCCATAACATTAGAAACAGAACCACCTGCTGGGAACCAAGTGTTCAAGCATACGAGTCTATGGGGGACACTTCCCATTCTGACAGTACAACAGCCATGAAATCCAAGACCTGTGTCCCAAAGAAGTTTTTAGTGCATCCCAGATGATGTCCCAAAGAAGTTTTTAGTCCAAGGGAGAAGAAGTAGGACTTCCCACAAGGGACTTAGAGAGAATTGGGGACCCAGTGTCAGAGAGATGTTTGTTACAGTCTCTGCTAATTGTTGCTTACTGAATTAGCAGCTGATATCTAGTATCCTCACCTACAGTGGGATGTGCTATGTGTTTCCTGTTGGGGCCCTCCAGAGTTGCTGTTCCTATTTCTCTGGGGTTTAGGAGGCTGGCCTTTACAGACTGTATCTTGCTCAGTTTTTAATCCTTGTGACAGAGTCCTGAGAAAAATCAATTTAAGTGGATGCAAAGTTTATTTTGGCTTGTGGTTTTTCAGTCCATGGTCAGTCACAGTGCTTTCGGCTTGTGGAATCATGATACATGAAGGAAGCAAAGAGTGTGGTGGAGTAGGATTGTTCATTTCATGGTGGCAGAAGCCAGAATAGAAGGATAGGTCAGGTTCTCATCTATCCCACTCAAAGGCAGGCCTCCAATGACTTGACTTCATTTCAGCTCTTCAAGGTTCTAGCAACCCTTAACAGCACCAGCTGCCTTCATCATATGGCATTTGGAGGACATTGTAGATCCACACCACAATAGACTTCATTAATAGGGTAAAATATCTAAGAGTAGATCTTTTCTCTTCTGGCTTGGCTGAAGTGAAGGAAAAAGAAATCCTGGAAAGGCAGAAAGGCTAAGGTGTGCATGTCTCCTGTTCCCTAATTGCTAGGCAAGTGGGTAGACTGTATCTCTCTCTAAAAGGCCATGTTCTAGTTTCCAGGTTCTGGTCACTACTGTCTCTCAGTCCCATCAGCCTTTTAAAGGGTGGAGAGAGGCAATAGCACTTGGCTGTCACTAATACCACAGTGCTGTGTCACCATTGTCATGTCCTTTAGCCCTGCCCACATATTTAGAAAGAGTCCCCTCAGTGAGCATGATGATGATTTTCATATGTCAACTTGACTGGGCTATGAGGCACTGTGATATTTGTCCAGACAGTCTGGTGTGTCCTGTCTCTGGATGAGGTTAACATTTGAATTAGCATGCAGTAAAGACTGTTCTCCCTAATCCAGCCAAGAGATCTGAATAGAAGAAAACTGTTGAGGAAGAGGAAACTCTTGATTGTCTTGAGTTGAGACATGAACCTTCTACCTTCAATTGACCATCTTGAGTTGGCATGAATCTTCTACCCTCAGACTGGAACTTATCCCATTCATTTTCTGGTTCTTCAGCTCACCAACTTCAGGTCTTGTGAGCCATTCACCTCATGACAGAGAGACAGAAAGAGGCTGTGATGCTTGCCATATTGATTGCCAATTTGACAGCATCTAGAGTCACCTAGGAAACAGATCTCCAGGTATGCCTCTGAGGGAGTTTCCAGGTTAGGTTAACTGAAGGGAGACACCCCAACCTGCATGTGGGAAGAACCATTCCATGGGAAGGGTGCAAGCTCAGCACCAATATTCACTTCCCCTGCTTCCTGACTACAGTGGCCATGTGACCAACTGTCTCACATCCTGCTATGACCTCCCTGCCATGATAGATTTTGCTAACTGTGAGCCAGAATCAACACCTCCTTCCTTCCAAAGCTTTTGTCAACTATTTTCTCATAGCCACAAGAAAAGTAGTTAATACAGGCACTCAGGACAAGCTACAGAACCCAATGACATGCCCTCAGGGATCTTCTTTCTCTGGAAGTTTCCATCATCTCCCAATACTTTCACATCATGAATCTATCAAGGGAAAATTCATTGATTAGGTCACCACCACCACTACCCCTTAATACAAGTATCTCTAATGAGTGGATCTGCCAACTGGGAACACCTGACTCTTTGGTGGGGGTCATTTCATATTCGAACCATAACAGCTTGGAACCTCTCAGCTTCAATAATTGCACGAGCCAGGCTCCTCCCTGCCCCTACCCCTGACTTTTCTCCCACACGCCAGCCTTGATTGGAAAATTAGTATCAGGAAAAGGGAGGAGATGAAACAATTATCTCCATTACTGCTCCCGTACCTCTTCACAAATCCCTTTACCTTTCACTTCATTAAAACTTAATTGACATACAATAAACCGAACATATTTAAAGTGTACCATACGATGAGTTTTGACATATGTGTGTTCAAGATAATGAGCATATCCATCATCCCCCCAAAGTTTCCGTGTGCCTGCCCCCTTTGAAATCCCTGGCTCCGGCTCCCCACCCCCAATCCCTAGGCAACCAGCCCTGCTTTCTGTCACTACCAGCTCATTTGCATTTCCTACAATTATATAAATGGAAGCATACAGTATGCGCTCTGTTTGCTTGCCTTCTTTCACTCAGCATAATTATTTTGAGCTCCATCTGTGTCGTAGTATGTATCGATAGTTCATTCCTTTTCATTTCTGGTGGAATTTTGTTATTTGAATATCGCATGGTTTGTTTATCCATTCACCAGTTGATGGACACGTGTGAGGGTTCCAGTTTTTTACCATTTCAGTCCATGCTGCTAAGAGCATTTGGTTGGAAGTCTTGGCCTGGATGTGCAATTTCACTCTTCCTGGGTAAACTCCTAAGGGAGGAATGGTTGGACCACATTCTAGGTAGTTGTTTAACTTTTTGAAAAGATGCCATATTGCCTCCTAAATCAGTCATACCATTTTACATTACCCAGCAGTGTATGAGAGTTCCAATTGATTCACACTCTTGGCAGCGCTTGGTATGTTCAGGCTGCTTAACTTTAGCCATTCCAAGAGATGCACACCAGTATCTCCTGGTAGTTTTCATTTGCATTTCCCTAATGAATAGCGATGTTGAATCTCTGTCATATGTTTCTTTTCTGTGATGTACCTTCTACGGTGAAGTCAGATTAAAAAAAAAACTCAGTTTAAAATTAAGTTGTTTGTGCTCTTATTGTTTTGAGGTTTTTTTTTTTTTTTACATAGTACAGATATACATCTTTCATGAAATGTGATTTAGGAGTATTTGAACTGGGAAGATGGCTGAGTGTGTGAAGTGCTTGCCGTACAGAAGTGAGAGCCTGAGTTCACACCCTCGGCATCCACAGCAGTAGTACACATGGCTGTAATCCCTGCACTCCTACAGAGAGATGGAAACTGGAGACAGGAGAGGCACTGGAAGGCCACAGGCCAGCTAGCCTGGCCTACAAAGTGAGAAAAAAGGCGAGGCAGGGGAGACCCTGTCCCAAGCAAGGGGGAGACCTAGACTGACTCCCTACTCGTGGGGCTGTGGCGTAGAAATGTTTGAGTTCACACACACAAATGCACACGCATACACATGTACAAAGACAAATAATATTAGCAACAATAATATCGTCCTGACCTGTGGCTTGTCCTTTCATGCTCTTAACTGTCTTTGAACAGCATAGGTGTTAAGTGTTGGTGAACTTTATCAATTTGTTCTTTAATACCGTTGTATCTAAGAAATATTTTCCTTCCCCATAAGGGTCATATCACATCTCTTGATTATGTCAGTTGGCCATATGGAATGATTGGTCTATCCTATCAAAGTTTGTGAAGCATACTCTATGATGTTTGCACAACAAAAATGGTTTAATGGGGGTATATTTCAGAGTTTAAGCTTTGGCTGTGATCATGGATTTGTCTATTATTCTGTGTAGTTCAGCCTTTCCTATACACCATTTAAAACGCTGTTATCAGATGCATAAGTATTATGGATTGTGTCTTACTGAATTAATCCCCCTTTACTATGAAAAAACATTAAAAATATCACTGGTAATATTTGTGTGTGTGCTGAAGCTTACTTTCTCTGATACAATGTAACTATCACAGCATTATTTCTTTTTAGTAACTTTATCCGGCTTTGCTATACAGGATAACTTCTAGAAGTTTAAAATTTTATTTGTAGGTGTTGCTAGGGTTTGTATATAAAGTGTTTTCATGAAAGGTTTTTGTGTTGAAGGCCTATCCACTGATGCAAACAGTGTTCAGAGAGAGGACTTTGTAGAAGTGACATGATCATAAAAGCCTTGCTATCATTCAGGGGTAATCCAATGATGAGTTCATAATTTGCTGACATTATTGGGAAGTTATGGAAACATTAGGAGGAGACATATATAGATTATCGTGGGTATGCCTGTGAAGGATGTGTCTTGCTCTGTGTCCCTTTCTGTTGGTCTGTCTCTCTGCTCCAGCATTTCTTCCTCCAAAGAAGGACTGATAATTCTGAAATAGTGAGTCAAGATTCATCTTTCCTCCTCTCTGCCATTTCTGCTAGATATTT